GACGTCGGCGCATGGCGATCGGAGGAGAATGGGGCGGAGAGGTGAGGCGATCTGAGGAGGGTCAAGAGGAGAGAGCAGAGCTCGAAGAAGAGATTCGATTGGTGGTCGTCGTCGTCGTCGATGCTATTGGAGTTCATCATCGTTTGAAAAATCCGAAGCCCTAACCCTAACCCTAGTTTTTGTCCCTAATTTTAAAGCGGTGGAGGGAGGGATAAACAATAGAGAGGAGCGAGAGAGAATCAAAGGGAGGGATTTTATTGGGTTGAGAGGGGGGGATTTTGGGTGGATAGGCTTCAGAAAAATTTATTTCAATTTTAGATCTCGATGATCGTGTCTTTGTGAATTGGGCTGTTTGGTTGGTTTCCTAAAAACCAAGAATAGGAAATGGGAGCATGGAAATCTCTCATTTCCTATTTTCAACCATTTTCATCTCTAAAACTTACCCTAACATTCAATAAAATATTATCTTATCATCCAACTCATCTAATAACATATTATTTTATCATCCAACTCATCCAATAAAATATTACTTTTATCACCCAACATCTAATAAAATATTATTTTTATCATCACATCATCCAACTCATCTCATCTCATATTTAAAAATCAATCACATCACCCAATAATATGGTGACAACTCATCTCATCTCCTTAAACTTTCATCTCCATCCATTTCCTCCAAAAAAATAAGGAAATTGATTTCCTTAAGTGTGGATCACATCATTCAATAATATAATGACAACTCATCTCATCTCATATATTTTCTTATTTTTAAAAATGAACCAAACACAAGAAAAGATCATATTATAGGAAATAAGTTTCTTATAATACATTTCCTTATTTTTTTAGCCAACCAAACAACCTCAAAACAAGTTTTCTTAAAAAATCACTCACATCATCCAATAATATGACGACAACTCATCTCATCTCATCTCCTATTCTTTAATTTCCTTCTTTTTTTTCTAACCAAACAACCTCAAAATAAAATTTCTAAGAAATACATTTCCTATTCTTTGATTTCCCTCTTTTTTTAGACAAACAAACAGCCCTTATTGATAACTGTTTTTCTTCGTGAGTATATATATTTTTTGGATGTTTGCTCTGGCTTTCGAAATCCAACACGTGAGAGTTTGGCAACGTCATGATGTAAGGTTCGAAAACTATCAGTACGAATATAAAATTTCAGTATTTTAAATTGGATAATGTTGCACGTGACTTGATACGTATAAAGTATCTAAATAAAATCTCTATAAAGATTTTATCAAATTTTAAATACATATATCAAGAGATTAATGAAAGCATTGGTCAGCCTATTCTAGATCTGGAGAAGGCCAGATTTTAGATATAGATCAACAATCTATATTTTTTGGTTACCAAGTTAAACAACATCAATACTCATATATTTATACTAGTTTACGGTAAGGACGACAGATAATGAAGTTTAAGGACGCCATGAATACATAAAGAGTGTAAAATGAGAATTAAAATAATAATAATAAATATTGTTTTACCCTTACTCTCTCTGCTTCCCTGGTGTACATACTATACAATGAATATAATTTTCAGCCAGCTCGTATTGAATTAAAATTCAAGTAATAATCTTTGCGAAATTAAAATACAAATCAATAAATTCTTTAGCAGTATAAATATGTCAGAATCTTAATTATTTATTTGGGAGCGAAAGATTGGAGTGTGTGTCAAAATAATAGGACTTTTAAATGGGCATAAAGTTAAATTATCCTTGGGCTCTCTGAAAAAGGCCCATCTAATCAATCACGTTTGTTTGTGGTTGGACACAGGACATCTAAGCTTGTCAATGTTTCTAAGGCCCGCTGTCTCTCTTAAATCAACTAAATCGACGTCGTGATCCAAAATGCTATTCCCATGTTCCCACAGATAGAACTACTCTCCAAATACTTCCAACTTTTTCAAGTTGAAAAAAGAAAATTCAACATCTCAAATAATAGATACATTATTGATACATAGAGAAAGAGAGAGAGAGAGAGAGAGAGAGAGAGAGAGAGAGAGAGAGAGAGAGAGGCGCGAATAATAGAAGCAAGAGAGGCGCAAATAATAGAAGCAAAAGACTTGGATACAACTTATGCATTATACAGCGTTTGATAGCTTTATGGCATAATCAAAATAGGAAATACTTACACAACTCATACATGAACAGGCAACACAATAACAAATGGATACAGTTGCAAAGTTTGTACTTGCATTATGATTACTGCATCAAAATTGTCACCCTTTTCTTCTCTCCATTTCCCACCGAATTATGAGAGAAATTAATTTGAGCAGTTTATTCATTGTAGCCATCCAGGCATGAAACTGCTCGCGCTAGGGCCAGGCATTTGGTCAGGTTGAAACCTGAATAAGCATAAAATTTTAACAGTTGCTAAAGCATAAAAGACATCTATTTCTAAAACTACTAGATTCAACATATGTCAGATGGTTACGAGATTAATCGTGCTTAATAATTGCTTGTAGAATTCTATAGACCTGAATTAGTACTTCTATTGTTTATACTAGCAATGAATGTGAATCATGACGGTACGTATAAAAGCTGTCACATTTGGAATGTATGACAAAGTGTTTGAAGTTAAAAAAGTGAAATCTTCACTAGTTTATGGAAATATACCCAATTTGCAAAGTGGGCTGGCATTCAAGAGGATAAAAAGTGAAATCTTCACTAGTTTATGGAAATATACCCAATTTGCAAAGTGGGCTGGCATTCAAGAGGATGGAAGAACTCTTCCCCTTGTGGTTGGCTCGGCTGCCGGCTGTATCCCATTGCATTAGCATTGGCCTCCCAGACTTGTTGCTGATTAGCCTGGCTTGTTTCTTCCAACTGCGCATACTGAGATAATTCAGTTAGCAATTTCTAAATGTTGATTGACCCCAGATGACATACATGCAGTTTAATCAGAACCAGTACGTGGATGCCAACTTGGAGCAGGAGATGGAGTATGGGTTGAAATATTTTGGTCATTGCTGTGAAATTTAAGGGCATGTCTAGCAATTCTCCGATAAACAGGTTAGTGGAAATGACCAGGTTAAGGACTAAAATTCTGTTTGAGGGCAAGAATTGAACCGGCTTTTTTTTAGTTCAGAAATCGGCCCTTAAACCAGTATAGTTCAATTTCTATTTTTTTTTTAAAACACAAGCAAGCTTAAGCCAGGTTCAAATTGAGGTGAGAGAGCCTACATACCCGTTTTCTCAGACTCCTATTAGCCTCACATAACATTTGTTCCTGTCAAATGGAAGGAAGCTATAGTTTAGAAGAATGAAACATTCATAAATTTAAGGGTAGAGTAAGACTTGTACTTAGAAATTTCAAGAATCTTATTATTATTATTATTATTATTAAATTATACCTTTCTTTGCAGATCACCAAGCTGATCGAGCATGTATTGTGTCTGCAAACGAACAAACAAACTTTTTAGTTTTGTAAACATAGTTGTTTCGATAAGGAAAATTCTTTTTGGAAATAAACTCAATACCCGTGTAGACCTAATTTGCTTCAGTGAAGAATCAAGTTGTTTTTCAAGTTGCTCGAGCTCCTTGCTGCTCAATGGCCCAAGATCTTCACCAAGAAGATTCCTAGATTTGTAATTATTACAGCCATGATAATTAAAAAAATTTAGTGTTAGCCTTCAGTTTAAGAAGTCGGTTTACGAAAGAGGTCTCCTGACAATATAATTTGCCTGGCATTTTACCTTTGAGATCTCTGTAAAGCCTCAACTCGTGCTTTAAGTTTCAAGTACTCTTGATGGCTACTTTGTAGCATCTAAAGACCAAAGATCAGTTAATTACGCAGTTTACATGAAAAAATAATCGTGCACATCAAGCGTAATGATATCTCAAATCAAAGTATTGAAGTAGGTCATCCCCTACAATGGTTGGAATCGTTGAAAATCAATAATTTTCCAATGTCTTATGAAATTAAATTGGTGGTAGCGAGAATGAAGAAAGAAACAAGAGTAATTTATAGATATAAAGCCTTTTCAGTATGAATAAATTATAATATACAGTTATTAATAGGACAACTTTAGTCTTAAGTTTTAACTTCTCCCGCAACTTTCAAGGGGTCCATTATCGGCGTCATCTATATAATTGGTAGAAAAGACACGCTATGCTTTTAAAAGAACATTATGACATTCAAAATTACAAGTTTTTACCTATGTTGTAAACTGTTAAATTTGAAAATTATTGATACATTATGTGAATATATGAGAAGTTATTTGCATGGTTGCTCTTAATTTTTCACAGTTCATATCTCACTATTTGTTTTAGCTACAATCAGGGAGATGAGTATTAACGGAAAGGAATGTGTAAACGAAAAAAATACTAGACATTAGCCAGGTAAATTACATATTTATTTATGAATTAGCTGAACCTGATAATTTATTAATTATTATGAGAAGTTTTTTCTGTTCCTTTTGCTTGCTTGAGATGAATAATATGAACACGTCACATAGCATAGATTTTTTGGTAAATGAGGCGTGTGGAATTCATTTTATACAGACTTTAGTGACATGACAAGAAAATCGCCAAATCTGCTGAGAAATATCCAACGTGCATGGCAAAATTTAAAGATGAGCGCCCAATCATCAGATTTAGGCTTCTAGCTCATGATTTCCTAATCATTTTTGAACTTCTAACTATAATCAGCTCTAAATTGCATTATGCAATCAGAAAGATTATATCGGAAAAGCAAAAGATTATATCAGAAGAGCAAACTGCATTAGGGAAATAATTTTGACACATCAGTAAGAGACACTCAAAACTTGTAAAAAAACTTTATGTGATCAATGATAGGAACAAAATTTGCGCTGAAAATATACTAACTAAAATGTAGTCATGACTTTTAACTCTCCAGAGCGTAAAAGCCTGCAGAACTAAAATTTGAAGCTAATTTTACAGTTTAAAATAATTCAGATAGTAGTCTTATGTTTATACCTGATTCTCCCGTATTTGTACACTGGTATCTGGTGCTCCATAACTACATTTTTGGTATCTGTCGAGTGTTTTCAGCATGCTGTAAATGAAAAGCAATGGACAGTATTAAAATTTCAAAATGTTAGAAATCATTATACGCTCTAAATGAATAGAGTTGTCATCTCAGTTTAAAAGAGGCATAGACAAGCTACAATAAACTTTATCAAGAAGAGATAGCAGACCATCACAGCTAGTAAACACATGATATGAATCTGAAATTTAACCAGACGAATATGAAAAGTATGAGTATTCAAATCCATTAACGACCAAAAGAAAATTTGTGTATGTCAAAGATCCAAAAAAAAAGTCATAGATAATAGATATTGTACGAAACAAAGCATAGAAACATGATAAGGAGAAGGCTTAACGTGGATCATCAATAGAAAGTGCACTAGTACAATGATGACACCATTAATTTGTAAAAGCACACTAAACCCAAATCACCTAGAATATTCTTCCAAGACTAAAAAAAAGTTGGTGTGTGTATACATGTAAAGGAGTATTTATGTAGGACGTTCGTGGGCTGTCCATCAGAAGATTTTAAGATCTATTATAATAAGTTTTATTTCAGTAATATTTGATTTGATTTCATATAATATTTTATTATAGTTAGAAATTTTCATTTGCCATTGATTTTGAGATCTCTTTCTAGTTAAGTTGGGATTTTATTTGACTGCATTAGTTTTGTTGGGATTTGATTTGATCAGGATTTTTATTTACTTTCTGAAGTGTTTAATTACTTTCTTTTTCTACAAATAAGAGATATAATCCTCCATAAGGAATATACATTGATGGTTAATAAAAAATAGAGTTATGGAATTCTTGACCATGTGAATTGCTTGGTTGACAAATGAAGTGTCTTTGGGGTGTGAAGTCCTTAGGTGTGACACCCCCAGGTGTAAAACCTAGTTATTATCAAAACCCTCTTTTTTTACTTGTCATTCTTGATCAATCCCTTCAAAAGAATACATAGCGTTCAACTCAAGCCAAAATACTCCATGTCTTATTCATCATGTGAGAAGTATGTTAGATCTAAGATGCAAGCATAGAGGGGGCGAACAGGATTACTTCTGTTTTTCACAAAAACATGGAATATGTAACAAAAATAACAAATAAAAGCAATAAATGATATAAAGCAAAATATCTATCACAAAAAATAACTAACCAAGAACACACGATATTTTGTAGTAGTTCGAATAAACAATCTTACGTCCACTCTTCGTTCTTGTGAAGGGATCCTCACTATACAAAAAGTTTACTTGAATCACAAACCTAATGTAGTAGGCTTACAACACATAAACTCTAGTTTATCCTAAACTAATCGTCTAATCTAACTCTCCACAATAGGTAACTCTTAGCCCCAGCTAGTTCTAACCCTCGACTCAACGGCTTGAGTACATCGCAAAAGAAGCTCAAAGTAAAAGCAAACACAAAATAAATAAGCTCAGAATAGGAACAATCTTATAGCCCTTTGAATAAAACAAATTGTCCCTTGAAGGATAGAATCAAAGCTTGATGAAGAACGATGAAGAAAATCAATCCAAGGGCAACTCTTCTCATAGAAACATGTTGTGCGTAGCGGAACAAACACAAACGCTGAGAGAGAAAGCCAAAACAATCCAAAATAACGGCACCAACTCAAACATAAAAGTTTAACGTGGTTCGGCAAATTGCCTATGTCCACGGGGCAAAAAGGGATGGGTTTCCACCATAGAGAAAGAAAGTACAAAGTAGAGATTACAAGATCACTCAACTAACATCTCAAACAAATCTCTCAAATCTCTCAAACTAAAGATCACTCAACTAACATCTCAAACAAATCTCTCAAATCTCTCAAACTAAACCCTCAAACAAATTGCTCAGAAAGATCTCTCTTTTCAACTAAACCCTCAAACAAATTGCTCAGAAAGATCTCTCTTTTCTGTGCTCAAAATCACCTTCAAACTACCTAATCAATCGATAGAAAACCCTAAAAACGTGGCTATATTTATAACAAAACACTATCTCAAATAGATTAGGATTCTAAAAATGAGTCTGCCACACCCTGGTGTGACACACGCCACACCTATAGTAAACATGATAGATTCTGTGATATCAGGGTGTGGCAGACACCAAACCCATGGTAAATAGGGCAGATTCTGTCACACTCTGCCACATGGGTATGGCAGATATCACACCAGGGTGTGGTGGAGTTTGTCTTGCTTATTTGTCACGTTTTTCTCAATTCTTTTCCTCAATTCTTTCACCGTTTTCACAATTCTTCACCTCGCCGAAGTTTTTTATAAACTGAGTCGACACCAACCAAATCAAACGTCTCATTTGTTGCGTCTAGTATGAAATGGAACAAAACTACGACAACAGACTCAATCCACAACAAGTCGAGACCCAAACGAGAATGCGAACACTCTCCAAATGTCAGTATCAACTCACCAAACCGACTGTATCAAATTGACTGCCTACGTACTCCCTCTCACAAGGGATCAAGCAGCCCGTAGTTCATCAAATGGCCTCCATAGACCCTCAATCAACTAGAAGAGTTCGCAACCCTTCTCTAACATCATCAACGAATCTACGGCTGATAGCTCTCGTAATGACCCCAAAGTGAAACAAATCAAACACCTCCACCTGAGGTGAACCAATGGTCGTATCCAAATCATATCCACCAGCTACATTCGAATCAACCAACTCATCATTTGCACCTAAATGCAAATGATCCCCTAACTATATCACCTTAGCTGGAATCCCAAACGATGCAGAATGATCTGAAGTGTGTGGAGTAATCTCCATCCAATATGGGGTAGTATCACTCTCCATCCGATGCGATACATCTAAGGTCTGTCCAAAGCTCTCCACCTGATGAGAGTCAATTAGCTCCCTCAGTGAAGCCTCAAGCGAAGTGACACTACCAGACTAAACATTTAATAGAGTTTTACCTCCAATCACAGCAGTCGACAACCTATGACCAAGATGATCCAAATATGTTAAAGCCTTAATACCAGAATTAATGCTCGACATCAAATATCGATCCTCATCCAGTAAGGAATAACTTAGCAAATCGGCCATCTCATCTTGTTGTTCCAAGATTTTCTTTTCACCGAAGTGTCTCAAAATGCCGTGAGCTCGGTTCGAATGCAAAAATAAGTCCCTCTTATACCTCCCACCAAAATCAGAATGAAGTACCTTCACCTTTTTGTCAATCTCATACTTTTTCAATCTGTTGGAGACTACTAGGACGTTATCCAAAGGAAATTTGGTTGCAACACAAACATGCCTAGAACAATAACCAACAAAAAAACTAAATATCTATTACTTTCCAATGATGTCTCCTTAGAAGGCCCCCAAATATCCGTATGAACTCCACCTAAAAGACCCTTAGTACGATGAATAGAGGTGCCAAACTTCACATCTGTCTTCTTGCTCACATTAAAATATTCACTGGACTTCAAATTGCAAGTCTGTGCGCCCATCTCTAAATCAATACTGGAATGACTAAGCTCCAAGTGCCGTAGTCTAGTCGAATCAACAGAAGTCGCCAACTCTCTACCTGTCACCGAACTTCTAATCAAATAGTACAGGTTATTCCTCCTGACGCCCTTCATCATAATCAAAGAGTCTTCCATGATCTTGAGAACCGTGTCCTCAACACGAACCTTCAGACCCTCTCCAATCAAAGCTCCAATTGAGATCAAGTTTTTTCTTAAGGAAGGAACATATCTCACACCATATAACTCCTTGACTGTCCCGTCAAACATCTAGATGCGAATTATTCCTATCTCAAGGATCTGGTATGCACGGTTGTCACCCATATACATCACACTACTATCCAGCTTCTCAAAACTAAAGAACCATTCCTTTCTAGGGCACACATGATAGATCGCACTACTATCCAACATCCACTCAGATTCCTCCGAATAGCTACCTGTAGGACTGATAGAAAGCGAATAAATAGAAGTATCAAAAATATTACCATCTGATATAACGATGTTTGCTTCTGATGATGGTTGCTTCCCTTTTCCCTTCTGCTTATACTTCATCCATTCGTCGAGCTTTGGACAATCTTTCTTCCAATGACCAGTCTTCTTGTATCAAACACACTGATCTTTTCCAACTGTAGGATGCCCTACTCTAGATTGTGACTTCCAATTCTTTCGATTTGAATTCTTCCCTCTTGCAACCAACGTCTCCGCTACTGTGTCACTTGTAGACTCTTTATCTTTCTTTCGAAGCTGATAGTTCACAAGTACAGCGGTGACCTCACTATACGAAAGAGATGTCTTCCCATTGATAAGAGTAAGGACGAAAGTCTCATATTCTTCGTCAGATAAGGAACTCAACAACAACAATGCCATATGCTCATCTTCAATCATAACATCTATATTCGCCAAATTCATGAGAAACTTCGTGTAGTGGTTCATGTGATCACCAATGGAGGTTCATTTCTTCAATTGGAAGCGATAAAGTCTTCTCTTCAAATACAAGCGATTCTTCACAATCTTGGTCAAATACTTGCTCTCAATGATCTCCCAAATCTTCTTAGATGAAGTCTCATTGATCACATTATACTTTAAATCTTGAGTCAAACAATACCTAGCTAATCGCACCACATGTCGTTCTATTCATCTTCTTCCAAACCCTCTTATCAATATCATCTGGCTTACCATCCAATTCCAAAGTATCTTTTAAATTTTGCGTGTTAAGCGTATCCAAGACTTCACATCGTCAAAATCCAAAATTATTAGTATCATTAAACTTCTCCACGTCTATCTTCATAGAGTGAATATTCAAACTTTTGACGATCTTCACACCTGAAGTATCCTCCACAACTCCTTTTTTCGGCCATAATTCCTCAAAGCACCAACAACTAAAGCGGAACAAATGAAGAATAGATCCAAAACTGAGAAAAGATAGAATTTTTACCAAAAAGATCCCACCTTTAACTCCAAACGAAACCCTAGCCGAACTTCCAAAGTGATCTACTCCTCCAAATAGCCCAAGCATAACCTAAGCTTTGATACCACTTGTTAGGCTCTGATACCACTT